TTTTTTTACAAGAGGATAAAGTTAGAAAAGGAAAAAAATAGAACTGCCCGCGAAAAAAAGGCATAACTTTTTAATGATAAGAATAATCAGAATTCGCAGACACGATTTTGTCAGTGAACGTTCTGACAACATTCTCTACGAATTTCAGCTTATTTGGTCCAGGGGCTGCCGACTTGGAACTCGAAATGCACGTACAAACAACTCACCTATTTTGTAACAGGTACAAATTTCCCGCGACGGCGCGCGGTAAATTATTTTCTATTGAATAAACTGCTTTTACATTTGCGAAGTCAGAATTCCAAGGGTAGTAAACGTGAAATTATCTTTCGATTTACTATATTAGCGTTCGAAATTTTACGTATATTTCCATAATGTTCACATCTCCTTGGCAAAAGCGACATGAAACCTTTTCCCCGAGAGGTTCTTGCAGCCTTTCACCAGAAACAATCGATCTGCCGTTCAACTTCGTCCACTTCTCTCGTCAATTTCCTCTGCTTCGACAGTTTCTTGCAATAGTATTTTAGCGCGGCTTGCGCTCATTTCGGCTTGCTCGTGGGTTCGTGATCGCGATCGTTGTCGAGTTCATCTAGCAATTTTTCTTAGTTGTAAAACGACCCTTTGTCGCTTTCCGTTAATTTAGCGGCCCACTCTTTGTCCAAAGTGGTTTTTGCCTTCTTTGGCCTTCCTTTAGCCGATGAAAATGGGCAAGATCGCTTTTTCTTCTTCAAAGACATCCGTGCACTGAATATGGCGCGCGAATCGCGCTCAGCATGTTATTAATGTCATGTGACTTCTTGCCTCGATAATTAATCCATTTGACAGAAGTTGTCAACTCTCAATTAAGTAATTAACATGCAAAAAATATTTCTCGCGCAATAACTAGCAGCAGATAGAATATTTTTTCGTGGAGTTTTTTTATCTTAAAGATAACCTTAAGATTTATCCAATCGCTTAAAAAAGTAAAATTATGCAAAATGGCAAATTTTCCCCTTACTGATACCGTAACAAAGGTCGCTGAAACAAAATCTTCGTAGCACACTTCGTCAGTATGACTATGAGGAAATTTGTTTTCGGGAAAAAAACAGAAACTATGATGGGGGTGCTCGTCGGAAATTTTGAAAAGAACCCCT